ACAAAGACAGGGAGGGTGGAACCAAACATCTCAAATTTGGACTCATCAGACCAAAGCAGAGATTTCCACTGGTCTAATGTCCATTCCTTGTATTGGCCCAAACAAATCTCTTTTGCTTGGTGCTTTTCCTTAGTAGTGGTTTCTTAGCAGCTATTTGACCATAAAGTGCAAATAGCAGATTCATGCAGTCTCCTCTGAACAGTTGATGAACAGATGTGTCTGGTACTCGAACTCTGTGTGGCATTTATCTGGGCTCTAATCTGAGGTGCTGTTAACTTGTGATTTTTGAAGCTGGTGACTCGGATATATTTATCCTCTGCAGCAGAGGTGACTCTTTGTCTTCCTTTCCTGAGGCGGTCCTCATGTGAGCCAGTTTCATCATAGTGCTTGATGGTTTTTGTGACTGCACTTGGGAACACATTCAAAGTTTACAAAATTTTCCAGACTGACGGACTGTCAGTTCTTAAAGTAATGATGAACTGTTGTTTCTCTTTACTTATTTGATTAGTCCTTGCCATAATATGAATTCTAACAGTTGTCAAATTAGGGCTGTCAGCTCTGTGCCAACCTGACTTCTGCACAACACAACTGATGGTCCATTTCATTTCAACCATTTCAGGTCATTGCAGCCCTGTCAGCAAAGCAAATGGTAGCTACTTTCAGAATTCTAAAACATAAGATATGTATAAAGTTATTTATCCTTTTTTCGTTGCTGCATAATTCCATATAGCTTGACTCATATAATAGATGTCTTCAGTATGTGTTTGCAAAAATAAAGAAAAAACATTAAATGACAAGGTGTGTCCAAACTTTTGACTGGTAGTGTATATATGTCTTTAATAAATTTGTTGTAATATATTGTAAGGTAAAGACCCCAGAATAACAATAACCAACCCCAGAATAAACCCAACAATCAGTCAACCGCCTATGAGCAAGCACCTGGGAACTACAAACAAGCCCACAGTCTGAGAGTGAAGTGCTCTGCTGGGGTGATACAGTCCTGTAAAGCTCTTTAAAATAAAATGGGGCCTAATTATACAAGACCATGTATGTGATGAGAAGGATTTTAAATTTGATTCTGGATTTAACAGGGAGCCAATGAAGAGCAGCAAGTATGGGCGAAATATCCTCTCTTTCTAGTCCCTGTCAGTACTCTTGCTGTAGCATTTTGGATCAACTAAAAGCTCCTCAGGGAGTTTTAAGGAAATGCTGATAATAACGAATTACAGTAGTCCAGCACAGAAGTGATAAACGTGACTTTCAGCATTACTCTGAGAAAGGATGTTTCTAATTTTAGATATGTACCACTAGTCTAGTAATTTCTTGAGCATTTTATTTTGGAAATGTTCCATACTGTACATGCAGTTGTACATTTTAACACAGAAATTAAAATGTGTAAATCTGTTACATAATATGTTTAATTTTGTTACCAACAAGTGAAGAAACCAACAGCTGCCTAGAACAGTAGAAAAAACATACAATAACATTTTGGTTGATTTTAAGGTAACTGTTATTTTGCTCATATGCGTTCCTGAAAATGAGTCCCTATCAAACGTTACTTCACAGTAAGATTTCATAATAAATGTACACTTTTTTTGAAAGATAAAACTAAGTTACAGTTACGTAAAGTTATGGCAGAAAGCTGCCCCTCCCTGTATCTAGCTTTTGCAAGACTGCTCTTCTACTGTAAAGGGATTCTGTCTTCCCTGCTGTCACATAGTGCTGCTCGCAGGGAAGGTAAAATTGCGTACTGTCCCAACAAAAAAAATGTAATTGCATTAAATATAACAAGCCAATACTTCATAGTGTAGTTATCAACACTTAAACAATTTCTTTTACAGTTTGTAGTTAGTAATTATCTGGGTCATTATTGCAAATACACTAATAATTTACAGCTAAGTTAATAGCTTGGTTTTTGGGAGTTTACTGGGAAAATAAGGGGCCTGTCGTTAACCTGTATAATCCCTAAATACCATGAGTTTAATTACAGATGAAAGTATTCATTTAAATAATTGTCACATTGTTTCGCAGCTATCGCAAAAGAAAGTTACCTATATTGCCAAGATTTTTATCCAGTGTCTTGTCTAAAATCTTTCAATTATCAACTTTAGCTTGAAACCACTTGCACAGCAAGATATTAAGATATTTAGTGCCAGGAACTTTATTCTTTTGATCTCTACACATGGTTTTCAGTGGAAGAAACCTTGCAACACAAGTGACTTCTTCAGTCTGCGCTAACTGTAGGCTTCCCCAACCTTTAAACAGTGCAGTTACATGACAAAAACACCACCATTAATATGCAAACTGCCATTACCACTGATCAAAGCAGACGAGTACTACCACAGAGTTGGGAAATTGCTGCAATCACAGCGTTTTAATATGGTGAAAGACATACTCTTATGCCCCCTCCTTGGTTCAGCAATGGTTGTTTCGTTTTTGGTGTATTATGTTTTAGAATTTGATTTCACAATGGTGAAAATAAATAAATAAATAAATAAGAAGAAAAGCTGTCCAATCCTAACAAACACCAGTTCATCAGTGGTTTTTGTTTGGTCAGCATGTTGCCAGCTTTGACAAATGCTCCACTGGGACAACCACATTTAATTCAATTCAGTTATATTTTATTTCATAGCACCAAATCACAAAAAACAAATCTATGCAGGGTCTCTTTGTTATGATGTTCTTCAGCTTCCCTGGCCACTGTGTGTATGGGAAAATGTTTGCTCTGTTGTACTGTCCTGATGACACCCACATTGTGGTGTATGAATTAGTAATTTCACAGTCTGACAATGATCGCCTGTAACGTTTTTATATCTAGACTGATGAACTTGATGTGTTTGTCCACCAGATTGTCATTTATATCTGGACCAAAGGCTCAATGGTGTTCCAAGATAGGATATCAGAGCTTTTCTCCATTTCATTCATATAAATGTTAGGCACAATAGGCAAAACCCAGGAACCGATAGCTTCTAGATGAGAACAGCATGAATAGTCACAGATGAGACAGCAGAAGTCTGAGATACTTGCTGCATGGTGGAAACGGACAGATGTATGCTAAATTCACACCAAGCACTTTGACTAGTGGGTGATGAATGTATCTGACAGACAACTCTCTCAAGCAGGGAAAGCCATTCTTAAGAAAGAGTTGAGCTTTCACGGCAAGACAAATCCAGCTAGTGAAACTAATAACAGGGATAAAATATGCATCGTGAAACAATTTTTGTGGTTGGCAACTTCAGATGAAAGTTGCAGCCTGCCTCAGAAATGCAAAGCCCCCAACATCCAATACAAGCATGAAGAAGAGGAAGACACACGAGTTATGCTGTAAAGACAGAATCACCATTGTGGCAACAAGGGTAGGTGCACAGTTTCATTAAACTAGACAGACTAGGATGAGCACATCCTGGACAAAGAGGAAGACTTGAGCAGGTAGTCAAGGACATTGAAAAGTGAAAAGTGAGCGACCATTGCTCAACTGAGGAAGAGACCTAAGAGCACATCTTTCACCATCTTGTATTGCTCTCTTTGCAGCCTTTTCCTAGCTAGCTGTGATTGATACTTATGCCACTGATCAATGGTTGATTGTGAAACTGAGGTCATGGCTCATTGTAAGGCAATATTGCTAGTTTTGGTCATTATGACCTTGTATTTACTTGGACTATTGACCATGCACCAGGACAAGATCTCTAGTGTCTTAAGCAGGATATAAATCTAAGTCAATGTCTAAAACTCAGGAAGCGGCTGTTGGATGTAAATACAATAAATCACCCTCACAGTTTTAAAAATAAAGCATTATGCACCAATATTCAGAGATGGAACCTGGAAATGTTAACACGAGATCCTTTAAAGTCTTGACTTGTGGATCTGTAACACAATTTTATATGACAGCTTGACAGAAACATTAAAAGAAGAGCAGGGATGATCCCAGAAATTCCACACAGAGTTGATATGCAGCCTCAAGCTCCCCCCACCACTGTTCTTGCCTCCTCTGATGGTTAGAGCCTTTGAGTATTATTGAGGTAAAGGCCAAAGTTCAGTAAGAGGAAGCTACATTAGTTTCCTTCATCAAGTTTTTTCAGAGTGGTAGCGGTGGTGGGGCGGTGCTTGGTCTGACTCAGAAAGCTGCTATGAGTAGGAGATGAGGAGTATGAGAAGGAGGGTGAGCAACATGGTAGACGGCAAAGCAAGGCTGCAGCCACCGGTGGTATCGTCAGTCAGGAAAGGCTCCGCAGAGTCGTACACCGAATCATCTGAAAATGAGTTAACATCAGAACAACATTAATTAATATGAGCTGCAAGTAAACATATCACAAAATTTTTTAATGTATTCACAGACCTCCATCCATCCAATTTTTGTACATCAGGGTGGGGACGGGGCCAGTCCAGTCTAGCTGTTTTACAATTACTCTTTCAATCATTTTTAGATAAAAGAAATGTTAGAGATTAGCCTATAATTAGCTTAGAGAAGCTAGGTGAAGTGATAGCTTTTTAGGTAAGGGGTTAATTGCCCATTGATAGCAAAAGGCTGATTATATTTACGATCAAAGCCTGAATTAGGGCGTCTTTGAGTGGTTTTGTAGGACTGGAGTGTAATAGACACACTGATTGTTTGGATAAAGTAAATACTGAAAAAAATAAATCAGTAGTTTTGAAAGTTTCTGTATATAATAATATATATATGAGATGGTCCTGATTTTTTTCTCTAATAATTACATTTTTTGTGAAGAAATTCATAAAGTCATTACTAGTTCAGATCAAAGGAATGTTTGGCTCATCAGAGCTCTCACTTTAAAGAGAAACCCGGGGCTCTTATTTGTTTTCCACTGATGAATGGTAAGATGTTGTAGTTTTATGGAGGGCATTTTCAAAAACAGAGAAATAAATGCTTTTTCCAAATCAAGATTTTCCTAATTAGTGAGATGGCCTTTCCTCTCCACCTTACAGATCATTTGCTTTAAGATGCACATTTGAGTTATACCAGGTAGTTAAGCACTTCCTTGTTTGGTTTCGGCTCTATCTGCCTTGTTGTTGGAAGAGTATCACTTTCTGTTCCTGTTACAAGGCACAGTGCTGTTTTTGTGTAGCTTATCTGTGTAGCCAATTTGATTAAAAACTTATACATAAGGTCTTATTTCATAGTGTAATCTTCATATGCAATATCCAAAGTGCTCACTCTATTGATTCACTCACTAATTATATTGACAGTATTTACTCCCTGTGCCTCTTCACCTGTCCCTCCTGCACTTTCCTGCTCATTATGTCAGATATTTCGTTACTTCTCTGCCTCCTTTAGTGACAACGATACTTGTAATAAATGTAGCCTGTTTGCAGCTCTGGAGGCCAGGATCAATAAGTTGGAGAGCAGGCTTTGCACCCTTGAAAAACCCGTAGCTAGCCAGACCCGTGTAGCTGGTCCAGTCCGACGTAGCGTAGCCCCTGTTACCCCCTCCCCCCACCACAATTTCAGAATTTAAAGCACTTTAAATTGTTTCACATCTTGAGCTTTAGAGGAAAGAATAGCAGCTTAGTGAGTTTGTTTACATGTTGCATTTTAAATATGAAACTTGAGTTCGGTTAATATTCCACTGAGTTCAAGTAGCACTTCAGTAATATTTTCTAATAACTCAATGGTGTGTTGTGATTGTAATCGAGAAATCTCTTTACTTTCATAGTCAAATAAGGGAGAAGAGGTGTAAAATTATACAAAAATATGAAATAGAAAAAAGGAAAGAAACTTACTTGTTGGCTTGACGTAGATTTTTAGCTTCAGACAAGGCTTCCTACCCAAGTTTGGATGCGATGATGCTACAAAGGAAACAAAGGCCATAGAAAATCATGGAGAATTTATGGTCATGAGGTAAACTACAAACATTTTACCCCAGATTTGGTTAGTAAGAAGACTGCTCCAAATCCCCCAGGGGCTTCTCCAGTCATAGGTCATGAAAAGGTTTTTGGTCAATCTCGATGTGCAGATTCTAAATACTTTTGATATTTTCAATTTGAAGTACTTTTTCCAAAGGAAACTGCTTTGTTTAGATGTTTATTTGCAAACCTCTCATGCTGAATTCTCCAGTGACAACAGAGAAAAGGTTTTCTTAAGATGACCTTTCCATGATATTCTGGTTGCAAGTGTTGCAGCACTGCAGAGCAGAGCACCACCATTCCAGAGTATATTAATTCCTTTTTAAAGCTTTTCTGTTGTCATTCTGGGTTTTATTTGTAAAAATTGTTCTAAGATTGTTGAACTATTTTTCAAAGTGCTTGTGTGGATTATTTATCTGCATTGTTGTAACCCTGGCCAGTAGTGGAAATTGTATCCGCTGAGTTTTCCTAATGTT